CGTCGCTATGGCAACTCAACTCTGCCTCCTTTCCCAGCCTGGGCGGGACAGCGGGAAGGCCGCTGAAGCGTCCAGGGTCACTGCAACCCTCCAACCCTGAATGCTCCTCCCCTCATCCACACTGAGGTGACATGCGCTGCTTCTATCATGGCTGCAGGAGCTGAAGCTGGGATAGTCCCAACCTACCACCCCACCTAGTGGACACTTATGTTGTGCTGTCTGAAGTCTGTTGCGTATCTGTCTGAGGTGTTTTTATTGCAGAGCAAAGCTGCTCTTCTGCTGGAGAGTAGCTCTGAAGTGCCTCTTTTTTCCCTCCACCTGAACCAATCCTCATGTTAGCCCTTATCTCTATTAAGGTAGCGCGACTCAGGGTTGCGAATGACCACAGTCACCAATTCTTGTCATGTGTCTTGCCCATGTATGTCTGATCTCTGAATTGTGTGTACTGAAACTCTAATTTCCCTCTGGGATTAATAAAGTATCTTTGATTGATTGATTGATAACAGGAGGTCACGCAAAAGCCAGCCTGAACAGATGAGTTTTAGCTGCTTTTAAAAGGAGCTCTCAATGTGGAGGAGCAGCGGGTCTACTCCGAGCTCCTCTGAGATGACTGAACTTCTCACCCCATCTCTAAAGGAGAGTCCAGATACCCTGGAGAAGACTCATTTCGGCTGCTGAGATCTCGTTCTTTCGGTCACTACTCAAGGCTCGTGACCATAGATGAGGGTAGGAACGTAGATCGACCGGTCTATTTAGAGCTTTGCCTTCCGGCTCAGCTCTCTCTTCATCATAACAGACCAGTACAACGCCCACATCACTGCAGACGCAGCACCAATCCGTTTACTGATCTCGCTCTCCATCTTAACCCTCAATTGTAAACAAGACCCAAAGATACTTAAACTCCTCCACTTGAGGCAGGACCTCATCCCTGACCCAGAGAAGGCATTCTACCCTTTTCCTACTCAAGTCCATGGTCTCAGATTTAGAGGAGCTGATTTTCATCTCAGCTGTGAACCACTCCAGTGAAAGTTGAGCAATGATGGAGAAAGGATGGTCTGGTCATCTCAAAACAGATTTTACTGACTCGCTGTTCCAGCACCAGAAAACAGATATGCTCGAAAAATGTATTTTGCCAACATCATTGTGCAGCACAAAGGGGATCAGTCTAAACTGTATAGTACTGTAAGTTCATTCCTACTGATGTCTGCTCCAGATGGCCTGTTGCCCTCTGTTTCTTTGTGCTCTGAGCTTCAGAGTTATTTCCTTCAAAAGACTGATGTATCAGGTCGAACTGTCCACCTCTGTTGTTTGGTACAACCATCAACTCCGCCTCCTCTCAGAAGTTTTGGTTCTATTAGTCTCCATGACTTGGAAAAGATGATAAAAACTATGAACCCAGCAGGCTCTCCTGAGGACTCACTGCCACCTAAATTGGTGCGTGACCTTGTTTCTGTTCTTGGACCGGCCATCCTGAACATTGTGAACACCAGCCTTGCCACTGGTGTGTTTTTAATGGCTTTTAAAAGAGCAGTTGTCCGATTTTACAGAAGCCTGGAATGGATCATTCAGACTTTATCAACTACTGCACAATATCTAAGGTGTCATTTTAGTCCAAGGTCTTGGTGAAAATTGTACACTAACAGATTGTGGCTCACATGGAGTTAAATTCGCTGTTTGATGTATTTCAATCTGCTTTCAGACCCCATCATAGCACTGAATCAGCATTGATTTGTGTATTAAATGATTTCCTGGGTCACGTGTACTTTTGATGCTGTTGGACCTGTCGGAAGCATTTGACACTGTTGACCACAGAATGCTGCTGGATCGCCTAAAGTCATGGGTTGGTCTCTCGGACTCTGAGCTAGACTGGCTTGGCTCATACCTAGGAAATAGGTATTTTAGTGTGCAGCTTGGGGTTTTTGCCTCACCTTTCCTGGGGGGGGGGGGGGGGGGGGGTCCTCAGGGCTCTGTTCTTGGCCTCCTCCTATTTTCCATCTATCTGTTACATTTGGGTCAGATTTTTAAACATCACAGCATCCGCTACCACACTTATACTGATGATTGTCAGCTTTATCTGGCCGTGAAAGAACAGGATGCAGGCACTTTAGTTTTAAAGTGTCTTTCTGAGGTAAAAGAGTGGTTGGCTGCCAACTTCTTGTACCTAAATGCTGCAAAGACTGAGCCAATTTGAGCCAAAAAACACCTCTCACCCATCATCTGCTCTTGGTTTTCCGTGTATTGAACTTCAGAAGTGTGTTACTAGCTTTGGTGTAAAACTAAATGCAGGATTTTCAATGGTATCGCAGATCAACACAGTTGTTAAATCATGTTCCTGCAACTGGGCCGCCTCATACGCCTCAAACCAGTACCGAAACGTCCTCATTTGGAGTCTGTGTTACACGCTTTTATAACTTCTCGCCTGGATTATGCGAACTCATTACTCATTGGTGCTCCTGTTTCGGCACTTAACCGGCTGCAGTTAGGTTTCTAACCAACACAAACAGCCGCTGTCACATTATCCTAGTTTTGGCACATTTACACTTTTAGGGTTTGTTTTAAGAAATTTAGTATTTGTCCACAAGGCGTTAAATGGCCTAGCACCCCTGTATTTGTCAGAACTCCTAACACCATTTGTGCCAGTGCGTTCTCTAAGATCAGCTGACTGCTTACTGCTCTGCATCCCCAAAATGATCTATAAGGCGAGAGGGAAGCGGGCTTTTGTGTACGTTGCTCCTCATCTTTGGAACGCACTCCCTCTCACCATACAAGAGTCTCGGTTTTCAAGTGCAGATTGAAGACTCACTTTGATGATTTGGCTTTTGGACAATGATTTCTTTTGTGCTTGTTTTACTGGGTTTGAGCTACTGTTATTATTCTTATGGTTGATTTATGTTATTGAAATGTTTTAAAATGGTCTGTTCCTGAATTTAATTGTATGATTTTGTCTTATTTTATTGAAATGTTTTCTGCTTGCTTCCAACCTTCTGTAAGGTGCTTTGTTCAGCTCGCAAGTTGTATTTTAAATGTGCGGTATAAAAAAATAGTATGGTATGGTAATTATTCCATTCTGACAAAGCCAACAGGGCCACATCATCTGCAAAAAGCAGAGACTCAATCCTTAGGCCACCAAAGTGGATCCCCACAACACCTTGGCTGCACCTAGAAATCCTGTCCATTAAATTTATGAACAGAATGGGTGACAAAGGACAGCCTTGGCGGAGTCCAACTCTCAATGGGAACAAGCCCGACGGTCTGGTTCCCGAGGGATGCGGTTGAACGCCTTTTCCAAATTCACAAAACATGTAGATTGGTAACATGTAAGGCCCTAAAAAACATACCCAGGATCTCGAAATGAATTCTGTAGTTAACCAGCAGCTGGTGAATCTAGAAGAGAAGTGCAGTGACATGGGTGTACGGATGTACAGGCATTCTGAACCACCCGTAAACGGTCTAGGGAGGTTTCACTCAGACAAGCAAAAAGAGAGCTGCAGTTGTCCAAATGTGATGAGATTACATAGTGTCTTTACTGTCTTTACAGCAATCCTGATACTAAACAAGCATGTAGCGACAGTGGAGAGAAAAAACTCAATTTAACAGGAAGCAACCTCCAGAGAATCCTGGCTCAGTATAAGCAGCCATCCGCCATGACTCACTGGGGATCAAGAAGATGGAGCACGCACACAGAGACGGTACTAATGAATTAGTGGCATTTGTTACAGTGATTTTGGGTCACAATCCACAATAAAATGTTAAAAATATAAATAAAAAACTTTTTAAAAAAGTTGTGCAAAACGTATTCACCAAAAAACAGAAGGAGCCTCAATTTTAGTGAAAGTCTTGTTCATCATTTTGTTTTGTGTGTTTGGTTTTTGACAAGATCCGTGACATAAGTACTCTGATTACTGGGATTTCTGATAGGAGACATGTGCACCAGAGCCTCAGGAGGGTAGAGGAGTCAAATGTACTCCTGTAGCTTTACTTTGACACTTGGATACCCCAGTAACTGCAAAAATAATACAAATACTTGACATAAAGCTATTCAAATACTGAGTAAATGATAAATGATAGATGACCCGCACTTGTATAGCGCCTCTCAGAGTAAGGACTCCAAAGCGCTTTGCACTACAGTGTATCATCCATCCATTCACACACACATTCACACACTGATGGTGATGAGCTACGATGTAGCCACAGCTGCCCTGGGGCGCAATGACAGAGGAGAGGCTGCCGAGCACAGGCGCCACCGGCCCCTCCGACCACCACCAGCAAGCAAGGTGGGTTAAGTGTCTTGCCCAAGGACACAACAGCAGAATTCTCTGTCCGGAGTCGGGATCGACCCTGCAACCTTCCGATTACTGGACAACCTGCTCAACCTCCTGAGCTACTGCTGCCCCAAATGTTTGATCATAACAGCTGATTTCATTTGCCGTACTTACTTCATCAGACAAACTAATACATGCAAATTCCCGTTAATTAAAGGGCACAATAAAAATAAGTTAAAATAAATAATATAATTATAAAATGACAAATGAAGGTAGAAGAAAAGCTTTCCCAAATCACTCTTATTCACAATAAAGCTTTACAAACCTTCCGAATGGTAATGAGACAATGTTAGAGCGATGGTGACAACTCTGAATGTGATATTACAAAATGTATTTTCTGGAAAGAATTGGTCACCTGTAGGCTATAAGCTCACTAATTTAAAGAAATAACATGAAATAACTGTTCTGTAATGAAAATAAAAATGTTTCCACTTTATTTTTTTCATATTTCCCGAGCTGCATGGTGGCACAGTTGTTAGCACTGTTGCCTCGCAGCACGAAGGTCGCAGGTTCAAAACTTGGCTGTGGCCTTTCTGCGTGGAGTTGCGTGTTCTCCTCATGCATGCGTGGGTTTCCTCCGGGTACTCCGGTTTCCCCCACAGATCACAACATGCCCTATAGGTTATAAATTGTAAGTCGCTTTGGATAGAAAGCGTCTGCCAAATAAATAAACAAACATAAACATATTTCTCTATCCATCCATTCATGGATGCTGCTGCGGGGGCAGCAGCCTATGCCGGGAGGTCCAGACTTCCTTCTCCCCAGCCACTTGGGCCAAAACATTGGCAAAGAAAAATGCCAGGAAGGCTAAATTAATCTTTCAAAGGAGGGTTTGAAATATGGGAAAACTTTATTTTTAAAACACTTTTTGTGTTTCCGCAGCTTTAATAAACACAACATTCTGAACATAGTGCTTTAAAGGCACAGATCTGAAATTTATGACGACAAGTCTGCATGACAGCAAGTGCCAGTTTTAGCTCAAACACCCTCTGAGTTGTAATTAATCAGGAACAACATGAAAGAGCCTGAGAGGGCTGTCGGGGCGAAGCGGAAAGAGGAAGGGTCAGGTAGCGCAGACAGACATCAGTTAGTGCAGCCTGCAGCAGGCCGAATGTCGTCAGAGACTGAGAAGGAAGAAACCAGCTGGGAAGACGGGTGAGGAGGTCAACAAGGAAACATAAATATTTAATCAAGGCCAGATTGACAGGCGAACAAAGGTTGCAGAGATCATTGTCTCTAAAGACACCCCCTTCCCACTGAGGGGAGAAGGGTCACTTTGACTACTGCCTGTCCATCACTTCATGCACAGAATGAAACCCAAAATAAAATATACAATGGACAGAAAATACGCATGTGCTTGTACTGAAAGTTGGAGTTTGTTACATTCCCTGAATACTGAAGAAAAAAACCTCAGCATGTCTTACACAAACACAAAAAGTAGCACTTTAACGGTATTGTGGGAAAACTAGAAGTCCCACTTAGGAAAGTTACAGTCACACCTTGTGCATCTACAGTGTTGACAGAATTGTTTGTACGTTACAGGTATAGTGTATGTTCTTGGAAAAAGCCATTCAGGCTAGTTACATTTTCTAAATGAAAAAGGTCCAAATCCTTCAGGCTCCACCCCTAGAGTCACAGAATCTGATGGGTGCAGAAAAGCTGCCCGGATGCAACGGGTACTAGGAAACAACCATAACACTCCATGCCCTTCAGCTGTGGAGCTCCTACTACATTGATATTGGACGACGCTCAAAGCACTTCGTATTTGATCCGTGGAAACCCCACAAATCAAGGACAGCCCGAACCTCCACAGATTCAGCTCTCTCCTCTTACTCGGCTACCAATAAAACACAGACGTGCTTCAACCACACGGCTCTGACGGCCGACAACGGACAGGCTGCATTCACAGACAACAGGTTCATCACCTAGACCTTTCCCAACAAGAACAGAACCGGACTTAAAACAGAACATGTAAAACAACTTCTTCAAAGAAAATTTCAAACAAAAAACAGAATGGAACGTTCCGTCTGTTGTGTCCTTGGGCAAGACTTGCCTGCCGGTGGCAGTCAGAGGGACCGGTGGCGCCTGCGTTCAGCAGGATTTGTCTCTGTCATGGCGCCCCAGGGCTGCTGTGGCTACAATATAGCTCATCCCCACCAGCATGTGAGTGTGTGTGAATGGGTGAATGACTGATTGTGTTGTGAAGCACCTTTGGGGGGTTGTAGAACTCTAAGAAGGCGGTATACAAATACGGGCCATTTACCATTTACACTAGCTAGCCCAGCTCTGGTTTTACTTCCTGTTCAGCTGCTTCAAGCCGAGAACATCAGTTTGTGCACATAAAAGGGGTTTCTGCGCGCGCGCGTGGGGGGGGGGGGGTCAGAGGGCAGTTTGTGAGATTAAACACATTCTATTAATAAATTAACTATGATGTTGATGTATTTTGCACTCAGAATGCAAAGGCCTGAAACATTAAAAATAAAACAGTGCTTCTCATTGGAGCATCAACGTTTTGACAAGTCAGCAGCAAGTTTCAGCTATAATGTGGCAGCCCTGGAGGGCAATATCTAACCATCAAAGGCCTTGGAAAAACACTTTAGATGATGACCTAATATTTGCCAAACACTTGTTCAGTATATTGGACCCCTGAGGCACTGTCATCATCTATAAACTATCTGAGCTTGATGAAAAAACCAGACCAACAGAAAACAAACGTTTTTGTCCTGGGAGGAGGGGAGTGTTCTGGAGCCAAAAACACAGAACATGCCTCCAAGCCGGGCAAAACGCCAGCTCTGTGCCCTTTTTGTTCCAGTTTCCTAACTGATACTGTGGGAATGTGGGCTGGAGGTCTTTCTCCCCCAGTGGGCTGTAATCACCTGTGCTTCATGTTTTCACTCTTAATTCTCTATTTTCCAATGCAGAAGTCTTTGAAGATGATATCCAGGATCTCCTCTGCCCCAACCCGGCCAGTGATTCTCCCCAGGCTGGTGAGAGCTAAGCGGACACCCTCAGCTGCCAGAGCGAGGTCAGAGTCTCGGTACCGCTGGAACTGAGACAGAGCCGCCACACACTGCTGCAAGTGGGCCCTGTGGCGAGCCTGGGTCAGGGTGGGGGCACCGGCCAGAGGATCACCACACCTACAGGAGCGTTTAGGAGAACAAAAAAACACTTCTCAGATACTATGTTTGATTTTGTAAATGAAAATAAGACAAACTGGTATCAGTAGAGCTTTGGGTTGAGTCATCCTGAATGTGAGGGCCAGTGTTACAGTACAGCAAAAGTCTAGTGTCTGCCCTCAGGCTTTTGTATTTTGCTTCCAAGAAGCTAAAATCTACTTTAAATTTGGACATTTGCTTATTTTATCTTAAAGCAATGTGTATATCCTGTGGGTCAGACACAAAAACTAAATATTAAAAATAGTGTTAAAACATCTGTAACCCCCCCCCCAAAAGAAAAAAAAAACAGCATTGAAAAGACCCCTGGAAAACACGAAGAACTGCTCAGGTTAGAGAAGCCAGTCAACTGCACATCATGTTGAAAAATCTGCATTCATGGTCTCCTCCATCTTGTCTCACAGTGGCGGTGTTGATTTTGTGTCCAGGACCCTCATTCATCAGCAGTTCTTAAGCACAGTCAGTAAGTATTTTGTGCTGAGGAACAATTGGACACATTGTGTGGTATTTACCATCTTGTACTTGTGCACAGAAATGTTCCTAAATATAAGAACAGCTCTGACCACGCGTAAGAACATCTGGAGGTAGAATGAGAGAACCGCAATACTGAAGGACTTAGTCATCCACACATGTTCCTCATCCACAAATTAGTTTTACTGTGAGTAATTATGTCTGTGGAGAAACAGCTTTGTCACATAGCTGGTGTTAGAGCCTATAAAAGCACCTGTGACTGTCTGGAGTTTGGCTGATCTTGACTTATAGGAGGATTTGGCAGAGTGAGCACTCTGGAGGGAATGTGTTAACCATGAACTCACTGATCTGCTTGGTGAGAATCCAGAGTGGCTCCTGAAGAGATATTGCTTCCTGAAGGAGATCCTTCTGCAGTTATGCTGTGATTTGGGACCCTTTGTGGAGTCGCAGATAAATTACAAGAATTTGATTCCAGTCCCTATGCAGTTACTGAGAACTTTAGGATTTTGGTATCTCAGCTATCACTGAGCTGCATTCTGCCATTAGGAATTCTGTGGCATTTCAAGGGTGAATAATCTGGCTGTTGGGAAGAACATGCTCAATTTAATTCATACGATGGAATAAAGGTCAATTTCTATTAACGTTTTATGAACGAGGGCCCAGGAGAGAACAGAGCACATCTCAGCAAGTAGAAGCTAACCATTAGCATTAGCAACTCCACAACACCGCAGAACCCCTTCAGACTTGTGTTATTTGTGAAGACAAAACATCAACGTTGCAAAGTAAACAGTAGGTTGAGAGTTGCGTTGCTGTTAGCCAATCAGAGGTGAGATCTCAGAATATCCTGCCATTTCTGCTCCCTTCTCCTCTGGCTTGTTTATACGTCCTGAAACAGAAGTGTGAGTGCTTTTCCCCCACAGAGATCGACTCAAAAGTCATTCATTTATACTAGAGCCCACTGCAAATGTAATGAAAAAACATGTTCTAAAGCAGCGTTTCTCAATTACTTTGCATCACGCACCCCCTAGGGAACGTAAATTTATTTGTTGTTTAGTGTGAGCGCTACTGCCACCTAGTTTAGCATGAAAAAACATGAAAATATCTATTAAAGATCCTGCAAAACAGTCCTAATAATATTGGTTCTTGATAAACAATAAAAACTCACAGGGTCTTGACACTGCTTTGCAGCACAGTGAGGAAGTCCTTGAGTCCTTCGTTCGTCTGACAGGAGAGCAGACACACAGCAGGAAGTCCAGAGACTCCTCTGAGCTCCATTTTTAACTTCTGTCTTTGAGTCTCAGGGAGCAAATCGGACTTATTCAGCACCAGAAGACACATGTCTGCAATTAATCATGGACTGAGTTAGCCGCCAAACACTGATATGTACTTGAGTCATCTGGGTGACACGTCTCTCTTCCTAAACTTTCATAACTTTTATTAAGTGGACTGGGAAAACATGTTTTCCTCTGAGTAAATAGTTAAAAGGTCTCGGTAACTAACACACGCACACGCACACACACACACACACACACACACACACACACACACACACACACACACACACACACACACACACACACACACACACACGTCAAGTAGTAGCTTCATGAACCTTTCATGTAATACCTGTTGCAGGCTGCTTCTGGGAGGGCAACACACTCCTCAGGTTCTCTGACAGGAAACCTGCAGCTCGTTGTACGTCTGAGGGGAGACAAGTCGAGTCCACAACCAGCAGCGTCAGATCAGCCTGCTGAACCCTGAAGGAACAAAATCAGCTTCATCTATAACCTGAAAGTCACCAACGAGCTTCTCTCATTCTTAGATTTATATGATGAATGGAGAAAATGTTTTCACAGCCTGTTTGACTCTTAGTGCAACAAAATACAGCTTTGTTATTCACTGAGCCGTTGTTTGGATGATCTTAGGCAACGTCACATTCATTTCCAGCGTAATGTGTAATAATTGTAATAATGTTTAGTTAGGATCTTGCAATGAGAATGGGAAACGAAGCATGGAAGGTTCTCCAGCAAAATTCCCAAGGTCTGAGCTGCGTTGTGTGACAATCCAAGAGTAGAATACACGTTTCCTGTATTTTCCAGCTCTGTGATCTATGTTTTCCATGACGTTCTTCCAAAAAACCCTGGCGCTAAAGTTTTGGAATATGTCATCAGGGGAGGACAGAAAATCTCTTGTTGTGGCTTTGTTTGTGGAGGATGACGTGAGTAACAGAAATCTGCCCCACAAATCTCATCCATCACTCAGGTACAGATAAATAACCGGTTCAGTCGACACTTTCCAACTAAATTTGAACACGTTTCATAAGTGGTTTTCTTTAGGCTGCACTGATTTTTGTGAAATCTGAAAAGTGAATCTGCTCACTTATTCAGCTGGTGTTAAATCATTACCATGAGAATTTTATTAAAGACTACATTAACTTCAGAAATCTCTCACCAATTTGATGTTATTTGTTATATGTTGCAGCGTAAAAATCACTGAACCTGACAACTTTTAGTTTTGAATGGAATTCCCTTGAAATCTCGCCGTCTTGTATCCAGGCGAGTGTGAGGTAGAAGCCGGAGTGGCGGCGGATGCTTGTAATTACCACATCCTTCCTGTAGTGACCCGGGTCACCAGTTTCTGTCCTGCTCCCTGAACACAAGCTTCCTACAGAACACAAAGAGCCCGCCCTTCCTAAAGATCCACGTAACCAAACAATAACCAAAAAGTGAGGATATAAAGTTTTAGACTTCTGGAACAGATCTCTATCTGAAGCTTCATTTTTTTTTTTATCTGTTTCAACTAAAAATCCCAGAATTTTAAAATTACATATAAATTTGTCTTTTTGCCTCTTAAAAAATGTTTACACTCTTCATTAAGGTAATTTGTTAACTAACTGAAATAAGACATTCTTCCAATTGGTTTTGAGCTTGCTTCAAAATAAAAGTTGAAGTAAATTCCAAACCCGTTTTTGGCTTCTTTCATTCATTCATTCATTCATTCAATTATTCATTCATTCATTCATTCATTCATTCATTCATCCATCCATTCATTCATTTTCATCCGTTTATCCGGAGTCTGGTCGCAGGGACAGTAGCCTAAGTCGACAATGATGGCATTTTATAGTGAATTATAAATGCTGATATTCTTAGATGATCAGTAAAGGTATGAGGATCAATATGGCCTTGTATGTGTTGAGCATTGATCGATTCATTACTGTATTTTGTAGGATTAATGTTACAATTTTTGCATTCAAAGGTTTTTAGTTTTTATCTTATTAAAATGTAAAATAATTTATTTGATGTTAATTTATACATGTACATTTTCCCCCTCTCCTGAGGCACATAACAATAAAACATCACAAAACAACTATTCAACTAGACAGGTGTTTTGTCTTAGCAGAGTTCCCGAGTCATTCTTCTGTTGGCATCTTTGTTTATTATAAAGCAATAAAGCTGAGAGGAAGAAGCATTTTTCCTGGATGTTAACAGTAGAATGGACATCTTACGAGCGTCAGCACACATGAAAAATGATGAAATGAAAAATGTTGGACAACGAAGAAAGGTGGCTCTCTGTTACGTAACCTCCTGAGTGTGTTTGTCTCGTGTATTTATAACCACGTCTCAGCAGTAACATAAACTGTAGCAGCTACTCAGACATCACAGAAAAGATTAACTTGTTCCTTCCTTAGTTTTCCAGAACATATTTCATTGCTCTCCAAACTCATTTGTTGTGTTAGATTAAAAGTTTGTTTGCTTTTTGTAAACTGGATGACAGGATTAGAATTTGTGGGATTACCTTTCTCGGGCCCGGCGAACCCCCTCCTGCTCCACCAGGTCTGCGCTTTCTCTGAGACCCGCTGTGTCGCTCAACAGGACAGGGAAGCCACCAATGTCCACTGCTGTCTCTACTATGTCTCTGGTGGTCCCGGCGATTGGGGACACAATGGCTGCAGGTCTCTGACCTGATTAAATAAATAAATAATTTTATACATATATATATATATATATATATACACACACACATATATATATATATATATATATATATATATATATATATATATATATATATATATATATATATATATATATATATATATATATATATATATATATACATATATATATATATATATATATATATACACACACATATATATATATATATATATATATATATATAGGCTACACACACACACACACACACAAACTAGAGTAAATGTGCTTTAGCAAAGAAAAGAAAATCCATGTCACATCTGCAGGCCTCTTCAACATGTATTTGATGGCTCTCTGTTAGAAGAATGATGAATCAAAGCGTGATGCTATGAGGTCTCACCGATCAATTTAACAGTTTAAGATGTTCTTTGTGCTTCACTGGTCATATTAAGGCTATAATTAGACCAGCATTTTATCACCATCATCATCATCATCATCAAATAGCATGACTCAGAAGTCTCAAGTCTAGACAGGATCTAGAGAAACTCATTCATGTGTTCATCTCCTGCAGGCTGGACTATTCTAATGGTCTTTTGACTGGTCTTCCCAAAAAAGCTGTGAAGCAGCTGCAGTTTATTCTGAATGCTGCTGCTAGAGTCTTAACAAGAACCAAGAGAACCGAGCACATCACTCTTGTTCTTAAATCTCTACTCTGGTTACCAGTAAACTACAGAATTGATTTGAAAGTGATTCTAGTTTATAACTCACTCAATGGCATGGGGCCAAAATACATGTTGGATCTCCACCCTTTATATACTCCCAGCAGGGCTCTGAGATCCTTAGGAAGGAGTCGGCTGTAGAAGCCCAGGTCAGAACCAAACGGTGAAGCTGCTTTTAGCTACTATGCTGCTCACAGATGGAATCAGCTTTATCATGACCTCAAATGCGCCCCAACCCTAGTAACTTTTAAATCTAAATAGAAAACTTTCATGTATTCAGCCTTTGAATGAATGTTTCTTGTACTGCACCTTGTGCACTTAAGTGCTCACCCTTTGACTTTGTTTAATCTTTTAAATCTAAATTGAACGTGTGTATTTGAATTGCACTGTCACGTTGATTTTAACGTTCCTGCTGATTGGAAAGCACATTGAATTGCCTCTGTGTATGAAATATGCAAAATAAATAAAGCCGCCTTGCCTTGTCTTGATCTTCAAATTGTCAAAACTTTATTTGTTCATTGTTTCTGTCTGAGATGAGGAGGAATCAAAAGTCCAACCTCTTAGTAACTGAACCTAGAGAATGTTCTGGTGCCTGATGATGCCAGACGCTCTTGGCTTGGGTTGGTCTTAAGCTCCAAAAGCTGATTCGTGTGATGCTGCTGCATCACTATTTGTCCCTGCTGCTTAGAAAAGAGCTCAGAACAGAAGACGATTTGATTTTAAAAATGCTCCTGACAGGAAGCTCTGATGAGGCTCTGCCAAATTTCTGCTCAAGAGAGTTTATATAAAGTATTCTAAATGACTCCAGGAAACAATATCTCAAACAAACATCATGTTTAAACAACACAAAGGTCTCGTTAAGTTGACACCAATTGTGTAAACACAAGTACAGATTAGAGTGATTAGAACATGTAAGGCAAGACAAGGCAGCTTCATTTATAGAGCACATTCCAAACACAGATGCAGTTCAATGTGCTTTACAATTATCAGGACGTGATATGAAAACAACATAAAACACAAATTAAAATACACACAGATAGAATTACAGTTTAGAGCTAAAGGAGAAGACAAAGTTACAGCGCAGATTACAATGGAGACGACGCATGATAAGAAACAATTCATTTAGAGGCTGATGAGTACATTAGGGTTTTAGTTTTGATTTAAACAACACTAGGGTTGGGGCAGATCTGAGGTCATGGGGAAGCTGATTCCATATGTGAGCAGCATAGAAACTAAATGCATCTCCACCTTGTTTGGTTCTGACCCGTGGTTCTACCAGCTGATTGTTTCCAAGGGATCTCGGAGCCCTATTGAGCGTCTATACAGGAATGAGATCAGACATGCATTTTGGTCACATGCCATTGAGTGACTTATAAACTAGTAGAAGCACTTTGAAATCTATTTTGTAGTTAACTGGTAATCAGTGTAGAGATCTAAGAACAGGAGTGATGTGCTCCGTTCTCTTAGTTCTTGTTAAGACTCTGGCAGCAACACGTAACAACTTTACAATTCATGTAATAAAATTTAGGAATTATTTATAATTACATACAGTCACTGTTTTATGCTGTAAGCAGTTATGCGTCTCCGTCGGGGTGAATATTTTATTCTACTATATGAGCCTCTGTAGTTGATGAGATTTTTGATGTTCGGTTCAGTTTTATTCTTACCCGTCAATACACTACCAGACAAAAGTTTGGAAACACTTTTTTCATTAAATGTTTTTTTTTCTTTATTTTCATGACTATTTATTAACTACAGAACTACAAATGAACACATATGGAATCATGTAGTAAAAAACTTGATAATGTTACTTGATCTTGCTTGGTAAGTGTTATGAGTAGCATGAAGAAAAGACGACAGGTAGAGAGGTGTCTTTCCCAGGATTGTCTTGCATATGAAGAGAACCCAACGATGGAGGCGCCGGGTGTAATGCGAGGGTCAGCCTCCCAGTTTAAATGGATCACAGCGATGGGTATATAAGGGAGCATTAGTGGCAAAACGGATGGCTGAATGATAATGTGTATCAAGTTTTTATTTAAGGCTGTGCTTGGCGCCATTCTATATATAATGTCACCATAATCCAAAATTGGCAGTGCAGTCACCTTAACAAGGGTGTATTTGGAGGCATGAGGGAAAGAAGCTTTATTGCAGAATAGAATGGCTAGTCTGGCTTTGACTTTTGCTCAAAGGTTATTGATGTGTGTGGTGAAAGAGATTTATCCAACCACATGCCTGGATATTCATATGTTTTGACATACTCCAGAACCATGCCGTTCAAACAAGTTGTTTGTTGGTGGAATTGAGGCAACAGGTGTTTGGCTAAGTAATGCACTTAGTCTTAGTGGTGTTCAGACAGAGGCGGAGATGATCAAAATCTATGGAGGTTAAGCTGAGATAAAAACTGAAAGCGGGGCAGCGCAGTGGCACAGTGGTTAGAGCTGTTGCCTTGCAGCGAGAAGGTCCTGGGTTCGCTTCCCGGCTTGGGATCTTTCTGCATGGAGTTTGCATGTTCTCCCTGTGCATGCGTGGGTTCTCTCCGGGTACTCCGGCTTCCTCCCACTGTCCAAAAACATGACTGTTAGGTTGATTGGTCTGTCTAAATTGTCCTTAGGTGTGTGTGTGTGTGTGCATGATTGTTTGTCCTGTGTGTCTCTGTGTTGCCCTGCGATGGACTGGCTCTCTGTCCAGGGTGTACCCCGCCTGATTGCCCGCTTGCCCTCACATGGAAGCCAGGCGGCCGTGCGGGTGGGCTATCCTGGTCCCCGGAGCCCTTCTTAGCTTCTTGGGTTAGCTAAGTTAGCTAGTGGCTACATTGGTTCATTTGTTCCAACTGTAACAACCCCACCCTCAGCTCCACCTCTTTTCCCATTTTTGGATTATCTGGGCGTGACAGGACGGGTGTGAGTGACATGGTCAAAATATTGGGGGTAGGAACCTCCCATTTGGAAACAAAAACTTATCATTCGAGCCTTGTTTTCCCAGTATGTCGATGGTACCAACACAACTGTTGGTCTCGACCACATTCAGAAGTCGAGGAATGCCTCAGATGGACCTTGAAAAGGCACACTTGTGACTACATCGTAAAGTCCTTAGTTTGCAGCCCTGTCAACAAAGCAAAACGATGCTTTTTTTGTTTACTACATAATTCCATATGTGTTCAATTATAGGTCTGATGCCTTAAAGGAGACTTTTTATGGCTCAAAATACTTTTATAAAATTCCTTGCATAAAATCTCTTTCACATAAAGTGATTTCAGCAGTTTTATTTTTCAAAGTTTCAGTCCCTTCCAGAATGAGCCGTTTAAAGGTCACTTTACGAAAACAAGCTGAAGCTTGATTCTTTATTACAGACTCAAGGTCCAGTTTACATTAAAAATAGTTACAAATACAGTATAAAAACGAACCAGGTAAAACACATAGAGATATAAACCTACGTGTGTGTTAACAGACAGCTGTAGCAGTGTTTCTGCAGCTCAGACTGATAGAGAATCGGCACGAAGATAAATGTTTGACGACTCAATATTTTTCATGCATTTCATCTGCTGATGAATTTGTGTATACAATTTCTCAAGACTGCTTAAAAGGAGTTAACTTGTAAACATTTTACAGGAGGGGAGGGCATGTCCTGCTGGCAGGAGGCCCCCGGGTCAACCCAGGACATGTTGGAGGGGTTACATCTCCAATCTGGTCCGGAAACGCCTTGGGGTCCTGCCGGAGGAGCTGGTGGAGGTGGCCGGGGAGAGGACAGTCTGGAGCTCCCTAGTTGGGATGCTGCCCCCACGACCCGGACCCGGATAAGCGGAGGAAGACGACGACGACATTGTACAGAAGGAAAGTATCAAAACATAGATCTTATATCAGAATTCAGCTAAAAGATATCAAGATATAAGTTTTGGTCCTAATCGCCTTGCCCTAGTCATGTTACTCATTTCTATGCACAATGTAGAAGTAAAGTGAAGTAAAGAAGTTTAGTGAGCTTCGAATCCTTCTTCCAGGATGATAAAATGTGAAGAAAACCACTAATAACTCAGGTCATGTGGTGGTGGTAAGTAGCAGCGACGTTGGGGGAGAAGAGACTCTGCTGTGATATGCGACGTCTGATTTGTAGTCATTTAAAGTACGGATTTTTACAAGTTAATAAATCTCAAATTATGTGACAGACATTGTCAAAACACACATAACTATTTATCATTTGAATTGAAGTGCGACTTATGTGTGACTCAGGGCAAAGTGGATTGGAAAACAGCTTTAATCATCCCAATCGCTAGTTTTTCCTCCTGACAAAAATTCTATTTTCTGGGAAACATTTCTCATTTCATGAGCATGGCGTAAGTTTTGCTTTTAGTCACGTTGCAGTTTGATCCTGGCTAATTACGAACAGTAGCCAGCAGATTTTACCCAGAGGTCTTCATCAGTAAAGTTTTCTCTACCGAGTGTTTGTGTGCGTGTGTTTTCTGGATCATTGCTCTTACAGAGAGTGTTAAGAAGACTACTTTTCCCAGCATTGGTGGCTCCTGCGATGACCACATGGACGCCACTGCGAAGCCTCTCACCTCTCCTCTCATCCCTCAAGTGTTGCTCGATCTGACTCTGCAGATCACAGACTGAACGGTCAGCTGATGGGAGACAAACACAGAACGGTGACAAAGGCAGGAGCTCATGACAAACAGAAAAAAGCCTCATGGACTTTCAGGATGTGACTAAAGTTTAAAGAATATTTATTGGCTTAATAATGCATTTATGATTATAGAGAATGCATTCACATCTGACTGAAGCACAGTTATTCCGGACGTGAACATAAAAAGTAGCAGACAAAATATTTATGGCATCTCTGCTCTTAAAGACTTTAAACAAGTCTTTATCATTATTTGCTCATCTGAGGTGTAGCCCACCAAAACAAGCAATTGTTCCCAAAATCTTTCAATGTGGTAAAATTTGTATTTTTAGAGCTTCTAATGGGATCTAGACAGCAGGATACAGATACTGAAAGAGGGGGAAACCCTCTATAATTTAAACAAACACAGAGGGTCTGGGGAAACTAGACACTTAAAGAATGTTCTGGGATTTTGGTTCTGCTGACATTCCTGCGATATTATCTTAAACGGAAAGAATAATGCTGTCCCTCAGGCTCTCTATTGAATTGGGCTTCCCAGTGGTTTCTTTTCCACGCTTTTTCCTCAACTCCAGCAAACCGTTTACCAAGTTACCTGTAGAGAATCATATTGGAAAAAGAAAAAAAAAATCCTCAAGATAGTAGACTTCATGGCCAAAGCTCATGAGATAACTATCCTTTGTTTATTTTTAAACACTGATGTGTTAACAGACCTTGGTCTAAGACTCCATCTTCAATGAGCTCGTCCTCACTGAAGTCTATGAAAGCTTCAATGTGGGCAAGACACTGTAATAAAAACAGAGAGAAGAGAAGAGAGATGGCTTTAATGTAGGGATGCTTGAAATTGGCGTTTTTACCGATACCCAATATTCCAATATTGTTCAACCCTGATTTTCCGACACAGATATATGCAGGGTCACGCCCTCGTTAAAAAAAAACTAAACCATTTTAGAATGCCAACAACACATATCTTCTATAATGGATGCTTAAAATGTAAACATTGTTGTTGCTAAATGACAACTACTCCAGTTTATGTTAGTCAATATAAAAAGTGCCCCTGGTAGGGTCTCCCATGACAAAATGGTCTTAAGTGAAGGGTGAGACAAAGAACGGTTCAGAGGATCTTTCATGGATGTACAATCAAAGAGTCGGAGTACTCGACCCGAAGGGTTACCAGGGTCCCACCCTGGAGCCAGGCCTGGGGTTGGGGCCCGTGAGCGACCGCCTGGTGGCCGGGCTTTCGCCCATGGGGCCCGACCGGGCCCAGCCTGAACCGGATACATGGGCTCATCCAAACGTGGACCCACCACACGCAGAAGGAACATGAAGGGTCCGGTGCAGTGTGGATCGGGTGGCAGACTGAGGCGGGAGCCTTGGCGGTCCGATCCCTGGACAAGGAAACTGGTTTTTGGGACATGGAACGTCACCTCGCTGGCGGGGAAGGAGCAGAAGCTTGTGGCAGAGGTTGAGCGTTACCGGCTAGATATAGTCGGACTCACCTCGACACATAGCATTGGCTCTGGAACCCAAGTCCTTGAGAGGGATTGGACACTCTCCTTTGCTGGAGTTGCTCCGGGTGAGAGGCGGAGGGCTGGGGTTGGCTTTTTGTTAGCTCCAAGACTCTCTACCTGTGTGTTTGGGTTTACCCCGGGGGGACGAGAGGGTAGCTTCTCTGCAACTTCGGGTCGGGGAATGGGTCCTGACTGTTGTTTGTGCTTATGCACCAAATATCAGTTCAGATTACCCACCCTTTTTGGAGTCCCTGGGACGAGTGCTAGATAGTGCTCCATCAGGGGACTCCATTGTCCTGCTGGGGGACGTCAATGCTCACGTGGGCAATGACAGCTTGACCTGGAGGGGTGTGATTGGGAGGAATGGCCCGCCTGATCTGAACTCGAGTGGTGTTTCGTTATTGGACTTCAGTGCAAGCCGCAGTTTGGCCATAATGAACACCATGTTTGAACATAAGGATGCCCATCGGTACACTTGGTACCAGGGCAGCCTAGGTCGCAGGTCGATGATAGACTTTGTAGTCGTATCATCTGACCTGCGGCCGTATGTTTTGGATACCCCGGTGAAGAGAGGAGCGGAGCTGTCAACTGATCACCACCTGGTGGTGAGTTGGATCAGATGGCAGGGGAAGATGCCGCGTAGACCTGGCAGATCCAAATGCATAGTGAGGGTCTGCTGGGAACGCCTGGCAGAAGAACCTGTCAAGACGGTCTTCAACTCCCACCTCCGGCAGAGCTTTGACCATGTCCCGAGAGCAGTGGGGGACATCGACTCAAAGCGGGCCTTGTTCCACTCTGCAATTGTTGAGGCGGCTGTTGCTAGCTGTGGTTGCAAGGTGGCCGGTACCAGTCGTGGTGGCAACCCCTGTACCCACTGGTGGACACCAGAGGTTCGTGAGCTGTCAGGCTGAAGAAGGAGGCCTACAGGACGTGGCTGGTCTGTGGGTCTCCGGAGGCAGCAGACGGGTACCAAGGCAAAATCTAAGTTTTTATTCATTGCAAGTCATATCGTCATCGCAATATTAATCACTGTTTTGCGTATCGCAGGTTTTCCTAATATCGTGCAGCCCTAGTCCACAACATATCTTATGTTCAAAACCCAACATAATATGCTGCTGTAAACATAAAAAAATCATTCAGATGCATCTCGTTCTAATCATAGCCTCGGTTATCATTTTGATATCTGCTTTAAACTTTTGAGTGACGTCCCACCTGACCGAAAAGATGAAGTGTTACTCTCCTCAGCTGAGGCAAAATCTTCAGTTATTGTCCGATAAGTCGGAAGTACCGTCCCCTATTTTCATGTGTGAAACTCAAATCAATTCCAACGTAGTATCTAGTTGACTGACATATCAAATAGTTAATGAAGGTCCAGAATACAACAAAATCTCACGTGGACTCCTTGTGTTCATCTTCTGCAAACTCAGTAAGAATTATTGTGATTGGTGGATCTATCCGTGTAGGCCCACAAAAAGACTAAACAATGCAAATGGTTCGCCCATTGTCATCTTTTGGACTGACAAATACCATTTAACTGTGGGTATTGCCCAACCGTGCAACTCTATAACATTGAAGAACACATTTAAGCTTGTGTTATTTGTAGAGAGGAAACATAAAAGTTGCTTGTTCTACCCAAGAAAGAATAGCAACAGCAGAAGAGTTATGTTTCCGTTAGCCAATCAGAGGCGAGACATTAGCATATCATGAATTAATTCGAGAGAACGCAGCAGGCTTATTTAACCCTCCCACTGTCTTTATGGGTGAACCCGTGAGGAAAGTTGATCATTGAGCAGGATTGATGGTTTATCCCTTGAGGTCCACGTGGCAGGGGTGAGGTGGTGTCCACTCCTCACCCCTGCCACGTGGACCCAAGGGATAAACCATCAATCCTGCTCAATGGTCAACCTTCCTCGCAGGGTCACACCCATTAGAACAGTGGGAGGGTTAAATAACAAGTGTATTATTCCTTTAAGCAACTAAAAGTCCTAAATGTGTGTAGTCATTTGCTGCTCCAGTTGGCGTCTTATAATAGTCTTTTGTACCTTTTAAACCCTACTTTTCCTCACATTTACTGTTGAGGTTGTCCGCAACAGAAGGTCAATGACCGCAGGTGAACACTTTCTATATGGAAGTGGGCCAGAATGTTTTCCTCATTAAACTGTTTTGGCACGAGACCTGACCAACCAATCCAGGTGTTCTCCCCTGAGAAGCTTTGTTAAGCTTAAGTTCCTAGAAGCAGTTTTTTCCAGCATGTCATTATTTCGAACTCCATCTTATGAGAACATAGTTAATCAGAGGTATACAACTTGTATGTTGACAGGGGTCAAATCTCCATCTGACACCTAAACAATGCTACTTTTTTAACCACTGGCTTCCCACATCAGTGAATGGGTCAAAGTACTGGAGTCGGATGCTTCCTGTTTTTCCGCAGCTATACTGCTATTGTGTGTATGTTCACCAATGTTTATTCAAGACACCAATTGTGTCTTAGGGGAAATATTAAATTGATTCTTCCCATGTGGTTTAGATTAATATCAATGGCAAACATGTCACCTTGAGTTTCTGCAAATGTGTTTTAAAGGTGTGATTTGAGCAAAAGTTTGAAAAAGATCATTTTTTATTTGAATATCTTATGTTAATGTTCCAAAAATATGATGATTTCCTATCTTAGATGTGTAAACAAAAAATGTAATTTATAAAAATAAAGTAACCGGAGAGGACAATAAAAAAACACAGAAGTCCAACTGATTTTTGTGGGGTGAAAAGCATGTTGTGCCTCCAATGAGACACTCGACAGAACAAAATATTCATTTTAATATAAGAAGTTCTGTTATCGCCACTAGTGAATGTTAGAACTAATCCACTCTGAGGTAAAGTCTTCAGAAAATTCACAAAAGATGTATAAATCTCTATTTTACATGCTGCAGATCTTAATTACTGTTTCTTATGTTGCACTTTTGAACATAATCTAATTCATAAAAAGTGTATGAATCTATGACATCATCTACTTCTATATCATCTTATAATCAGTTCTTGCCCTGTTCAATCTTTTATTAATGTCATAGTATGATAAGTAGCATCACTGTGTCAAATAGTAAAATTCATTTACACACTGATTATTAGCAGTAGGGATGTCCAATATTGTTGGTCTACTATTAATATTGGCCGATTTTGGCATTCAAATATCACACCAGGCACTTAATATCAGGAACAAAAAAAAAAAAAAGATAGAAATGGAAATAAAAAAATGACATAAAATATCATAAAAATAAGAATAGCAAAAGATCTCACATAATTTGCTTTTCTCCTTTTTAAGATATTTTATGTCACTGTTTAAATGTCATTTTAATTTAGGGAAAAAGAAAATGAACAAGAAAAAGCAAAATTGGATCGTGGCAAAAGCAGAATCAGCAGAACGAAGCTAACTCAGGTTTTTGCTAACCATCTAAATTAAGTGCTGTTCACCTGGGGTGGGCATCTAAACCACCCGGAAAACCAAATGGGTAAAGAGCTCAACTTGATTTGTTAAAAAACATCATGCTTCAATTTGTTTGACAGAATGCATTAAGTGTAGCAAACATTTGAGCTGACCATTCATTGCAATTTTCTTTTGTTATTTGCGATATGCATATTGTGCACACCGATATCGCAATGACGACACATTAGCGATATATTGTGCAGCCCTTTTGTGGACTCACTGTTTTATTGGAGTACTTTTGTTTGTCTCCTTCTGATGTAAAAAGTAGTTTTTGGGGGGGATGGCTCTGTTCTGTCAATGATATGAGTCTTTGAATGGTGGAATCATTGGAAATCACAATAATCCTAGCTTTCCAATGATTTATAATATGTAAAATGTACATGGAAAGACGGAGATGTGTTGCCCTGCGTGAGGCAAATGGTGGCCACACTAGATACTGACTGGTTTTCTGCCCCACCAGCCCCATAAAGCAAAACTGTGTACATGTCAGGGTGGCCTTTTATTGTGGGCAATCTAAAGCCTGATTTATACTTCTCCGTCTGCGTCGGTGCGGGGACACGCAACGCCATTATGCATCGCCACAAGGGCTCTCCGACGAGCTCACAGAGGGTGACGGAGACATGCCCAAAATTTTAAACATCCATCGAAAGTAACGGAGAACGCAAGCTTGTGATTGGTCAGGACACCACTTCCTGTACATTTGTCACCAGCACTGCTGTAGCTCCATTAAAAAGTAAACAGACATTTAGCAGCAGACCCAGAACAGATTAAAGAATGCATCGTGGAAAAAGTCCAAAAATAGTAACATTTATTTAACCGTGAGTGAGTGAGTGAGTGAGTGAGTGAGTGAGTACAAAATATGGAGCAAAAAGTGGTAAAAGTGGGTTAGGAGGTGGCGACCGCATTAAGAGGTGGAGCAAAATGAAGCACAAATTTGTCCGTGTTATAAAGTTTCTGAAATATATAAACACATTAGTAAATACCAGGTAAATACACTATCGGGGATCGGATACATGGGTGTTATGGTGGCAGGATACCACAGAACAGCACTACACCCTCTGTTGTCCTGGCGGGGAATTGCTTTGCAACACTCCTCTGCCTGAACAGAATGTGAAAACCTGTCTGACACTCCGTGCTCACGGAGAAGCATAAATCAGGCTTTAGGCACAACTGTACATTATTCATGCCATCTAATCAGCCCCTTGATATGCCACACCTGTGAGGTGGGATGGATTATCTTGGTAAAGGAAAAGTGCTCACTAACACACATGTAGACAGATTTCAGAACAATATTTGAGAGTCATGTGTCTTTTGTGTATGTAGAAAAAGTTTCAAATGTTTGAGTGCAGCTCATGAAAAATGGTTGCATTTATAATATATATATATATATTTTTTTTTTTTTTATTCCGAGTATTGTATAAAAAACACACATAGTACATGTGCTGCAGCAACATGAAAACAGGAAGCCTGTAATTCCTTTAAAAGCAGCTGAGCAACAAAAGCTTTGTGTGGGTGTGAAAAGGTTGAGGTCTGACAGGGTCTTTCCAAAGTCTCATCGGGGAAAATGAGAGCTTGTTTCTGCTTTGAAGTTCACTCAAAATATTGTTTTCCAAAAGGAAAATTGAAAAGCCCTTTAGTCGTTTGACATAATAGACGACATTAAAATCCTCCACACAATGTTCGGGTCACATAACAGAGAGGTTTTGGTCAGAGTTGTGCTGCAATAAAACATACAGGAGGGAAAAGCTGAAACATTACCTCCTGCTTAACCCTCCCACTGTCCTAATGGGTGTGAGTCCACGAGTAAAGTTGACCATTGAGCAGGTTGATGGTTTATCCCTTGGGCCCATGTGGCAGGGGTGAGGAGTGAGCACCACCTCACCCCTGCCACGTGGACCTCATGGGATAAACCACCAATCCTGCTCAATGGTCAACTTTCCTCGCGGGGTCACCCATAAAGACAGTGGGAGGGTTAAAGTGTCTCCAATACAATGTTTTATTTCATTTTTAGTCATAGCATTATTTCATAAATAATAATAATAATAATAATAATAATAGATTTGTTGGTATTCATATCTTCATACTTTAAATATTCATTTTTATTTGTAACTACTCCTTTTATTGCTAGTTATATATTTATCTATCTTTAGAAATTACATTTAATAATATTTACCTTTTAATTCTTAAATTTTATTTTATTTTACCCCTCTTTGCATTTATGCTGTGATTTAGTTTTGTGAATCATTTTTATTTTTAAAATGCTGTGAATAAACGCAGTTAGTGTTTGCATTTTTATGATTTTGATAAAAGGTATTATAATAATTTTAGTTTTAGGGTTTAATGGTAGAACCACAGAAAGCCTGAGTCAAGACTGAGAAAGTTTCAGAAAAATAATTTAAATCCAAACAGATCAACAGGTTTTAGTGTAGTGAATAAAAAAACAAGTATACAAGTTCCTGCAATACAAATCAGTTTAATCGATCATATCATAAATCTGGAGCTGTATTTTAGCATCTGAAACCATGATGAATCCAAACAGTTGGAAGAAAGCTGAAAAATTCCAGCAGAGTATAAATTACAACTATTTCTAGACTTACTCGCTTCAACTTGTGGCTCCAGTCCCGGTAGATGTGTCCCAGTTCTCCTGACATCTGTCGAAGAGCTTGTCTCCGCTGGGCCTCGGTCTCTGCATGAATCAGATCCCCGAGTCCCTCCACCTTCATCAGGATTTACACAGGATCATTTTGATTTAGTCAATTTAAGTTCATTCTTAAATCCTTGGTAATGCAAATGAATATCCAACCAACAGCAATAAAGACATAACTTCCTCTCATACGTGATCAGGTTTGTTAGAGGATATCATGTTAGGAGATTTATGAAGCTTTGCATTCAGCTTATACCTCCTCTGTTTCCTGCTGCTGTTTTAAAAAAAGAATCAGAATTGGCCTAAATTGGTATCAACAGGTCAGCATTTGGCCCCCAGGACAAAAAATTGTTTATCTCTAATGAAAATGTGTTTTTTTACCTTAAAAACACTAAAGCCTTTGGCTCTCGAGTTTCAAAAACATTTTAATCTATGCACACTCACCCGATTCACTGCACTCAAGAACAATGACCTAACATCAGAGCCTCACTGAAGCTCCTACAGGATTATGTCAAGAGGAACCATTTAGGTTTATTTAATAGTTTTTTCCAGGTGTCCTGTAGACTCACATAAAAACGCACAAAGCAGATTTATTTTATTGTACAGACTCTTCTAACTCACCTCTGTTAAATCAAGCTTCCCTGCTTGAAAAGCCCTTCGCGTGAACTCCCCAGCTTCAGCAGGCCTCGTGCCAGGCACGCTTCCTGCAAAACACACACATACAAACAAAAACATGAAGAAACGGAGGTGGTGCACGTGTGCATTACGCAAACAAAGAGAGCAGGATCAGATGTGGGGTCAGAGAGGTACTTAAGGTTCACCAGGACTCACAACAGACTCATCTGCAGGTCATCAACGGTCATGTGTGCATTGTTCTTACAACCATTCTTTAGATCTCATTAGCGGACAATAAAGAACACATGTTCATTTGGGAAATGGGGGTTCTAAATAATAAATGAACATTTCAGTGGTAATAATAGTTCACACATTCTGCATAAATCCATTTGGGACTGACTGTATGGATTATTTTGTATAGAACTGTGATGAATGGTAAAATCTCACAGGACAACAAACTGGTAGATTCTTTATTTTGTATTATGCACCACTGCCCCCTACTGGGCGGATAACAGAGCAGAAGTGAATTAATTCCTGTCCATCACAAAAGGGACTGACATGCTTGTCAAAGCAAATATTTTAAGCATCTTAGAAATAGAAGTGCATGTGGCAGTTTTCTCTTTTAAGTCACATGACAGACAGTCACATGACTCTACCAGATGGAGCACTTAGAATTACTTTGAAGGCTTATGGCTTGGGGAATTTAAGCCGCAAATATGCATTTTGATGGACTCAAAATGATGACAGGTTTTATTAGTATTTAATTTTTTTTTACCTAGAGCTTGTAGGACAGCAGTAATGACAGCAGGACCACCATGGATGTGGAACTCCACGCTGTCTTCTCCTGTGAAGCTGTGAGGAGCTGATGACATAAGCAGAAGAATACGATAAGTTTTTTTGATTTTTAAGTTAGCCTGTGTCTAAGACTTTGATCCAGATAAAGCAAGGCTTGGACTTGTGACAGGAAGAAACTCAAGCCTCAATAAACGCTCTTAAGCTGGCAAAAAAAAAAAAAGGGAACACCAAATAAAGTTTGAATTATGTTCTGAATTATGTGGCTCACCTGGAAACCAGAGGACAAGCCCACGGTCCAGCATTTCTCCGGAGAGGGGATCTGTGATGCTGCGCAACAGAGCAGTTCGTGGAGGAGGGAGGCGGTGCCCAGCCATACTCCTTAAAGCTGTCGCTGAGGCAGGGCCACTGACACGTACCACAGCTACGCCACACCTGCCATAACCTGATGACAGGGCAAAGATGGTGTCAGCGTCTGCCAGCCCACCCTGAACTCCACCGTACGTGGACAGGAGACGATGGAGAGAGGTGCGTCTACTGGATTTAAGGAGGACATAAATTATTAATTAGATATATTAGGCCACATCAGCAGTGAACGTCAACAATAAAAAAGACCTTCAGAGAACCTGAAAGCTACTGATTACTATGCCTCTAAAGGTTTACAAAAAACTATGCTCCTTGGAAAAAGTCAGTGTATAAATACCTTAAATATGTAGAATGATTTAACCTTACACTGGTTTCTAACAGATTAACAATAAAAAAAAAATCCAAAAGGAATGTTGTGTTTTTGTTTTACATGTTTTAACAGAAGCTCTTCGTTTTCCAAAGGGCCTTAAGTCACATTTTATACAGATCAGACGCCTTAATCACGACATAAACAACATTTTATAACCAGAATGACTTTAAAAATGTTCGTAAAAGTTAAAAGTTTTAAACCAACTTTGTCCAAAGTCCGCGAATCACAGCTCTGCACACTCCACGATGGATGGACGATGGTCGAAACATAATTATGGAATAAATATAAACTATTAAATTATCACCTTTTTATCATTCAGACTTACAATTAGTCCTCATTATAATCTGTATTTATGGCTTTTTCGCCGTTCAGATAGTTTCTACTAAACGGACCAGGAAACCTAACCTTGCTATTACTGACACGAAGGTCAAATATTTAAATTATATCGGTTAAACTTTCATTAAAAATAAAAAATCGACCCGACTCGTCTCCTCTATTTGATATGTCGTCCATGCTGTTTTCATGTGTGAAAAATCTGAGCTCCTATTCGCTGAGAACCTGTCGATCAACAGGAAGTTCCGCCTACTGTGCATCAAATCATTCAGTCCGTAGCGTTATGCCAACGATAATTAGTTCCGTTATCCTTCTCAACACTGGGATGCGAAAGTTTGGGCAGCCTTGTTAATCTTCAAGATTTTCCTGTATACATAGTTGGTTGTTACGATAAAACATTTGTAGTTAAATGTATCATAAAGGAGACTCACACGTTAATATTTGAGAAGTCAAACAAAGTTGATAGGATTCACAGAACGATGCATTAATTAAAATTAGACAAGTGCATTAATTTGGGCACCACAAACAATAAATTAACTTAACATTTAGTAGATCCTCTTTTTGTAGAAATAACTGCCTCTAAAAGCTTCCTATAGCTTTCAATGAGAGTCTGGATTCTGGTTAACGGTATTTTGGCCCATTCTTCTTTACAAAACATCTCTAATTCATTCAGGTCTGATGGCTTCTGAGCATGGATAGTTCTCTTAAAGTCACACCACAGATGTTCAACAATATTCAGGTCTGGGGACTGAGATGGCCGTTCCAGTATGTTGTACTTACTCCTCTACATGAATGCCTTAGTAGATGCTGAGCAGTGTTTAGGGACGTTGTCTTGTTGACAGATCCAGCCCCGGTGCAGTTTCAGCTTTGTCACTGATCCCTGGACATTGGTCTCGAGAATCTGCTGATATTGAGTGGAATCCATGCATCCCTCAACTTTAACAAGATTCCCAGTCCCTGCACTGGCCACACAGCCCACAGCATGATGGAACCACCACCATGTTTTACTGTAGGTAACGGGTGTTTTTCTTGGACTGCTGTGTTCTTTTTCCTCCATGCATAACACCCCTTGTTATGCCCAAATAACTCAGTTTTTGTTTCATCAGTCCACAGCACCTTATTCCAAAATGAAGCTGGCTTGTCCAAATGTGCTTCAGCGTACCTCAAGCAGCTTTGTTTGTGCTGTGGGTGGAGAAAAGGCTTCGTCTGCATCGTCTCTCACATACAGCATCTCCTTGTGTAAAGTAGTTTTGTTGATGGTTGAATGATGCACTCCATCATCATCTTACAGTGACTCCATCTGCAGCAAGATGATGTTGATGATTAAGATGACCACAAACACAATTTGCTTTCCTTTAACCCTCTGGAGGCAGGTGTTACAGATTTGCAACGTTAAAACCTTCCTACCAGGTTACTCCACGCACGTATTTCATGAGCATTTTTTAACTCAGAAGTACCCCTGAAGGACTTAGTTTTTCGTCCTTTTATCAAAACTTATTTTGAGCCTGAGAGGGTTAATCCCACTGTCAGAACATTCCATTCCATTCCATTTATTTGATAAAGCACATTTAAAAACAGCATGTGAGCTGACCAAAGTGCTGTACAGGGGTAAGAACATATAAGGTTAAACGAATAATTTAAAAGAATAAAACAACTAGAGCATAGCACAAAGAACCAACCAAGAGAAGTCAATAAAATCAGTAAAAGAACAGTGTAAATAAACCATCAATAAAATAGATAGGCAGTAAAAGCAAGGGAATAAAAGTAAGTCTTTAAGTGAGACTTAAAAACCCCAATGGAGGAGGAGAGTCTGATATTCAGCGGGAGATCATTCCAGAGTTTCAGAGCGCAGACAGAAAAAGCTCGTTCACCACGTTGACGGGGAATCTGTAGTAGGTGTAGGTCACCTGAACGGAGAGTCCTTCCTGGCACATAAGGAGCGAGTAACTCAGATATGTAAGGTGGTGCTAAGCCATTCAGCGCCTTAAAAACAAACAATAAAATTTGAACATGGTTCATTGTATCATTAGATTGTTGTGAAATAAGAAAAATAAAAACCTTCTGGCAATTTATGAAAATATTGTGTCTTTTTAATAAACCCAATTTACCTACAATTGTGTTTCTCTCACAGCATGCAGCCTTAATGTAAACAGGCCCTTAAATGGCTGAGTATAAAGTTTTAGTGTTTTCGTTCAACTTTACAACTAATGTATTTTCCTTTGTGTACTGGAGTAACTAACTCTAATATTAAGAGCACTGTGATTATCTTGACCTATATATTGTGTGAGCATGCACATAGGAGCACACGGCGTATAGATTTCATGTGCAGTGATGTGTGTTTCTTTACCCCGCTGCAGTGCCTTGCAGTTGTCAGCCCAGAGGGTGGTGAGTAAGCAGAATTTCTGCTCACACATGAGGTGTTTCTAAGTTGTGAGCCATATGAAGGGGAGGGCTGACAAGCTGCCTGTGCGGCTGCTGCTGCACAGAGAAACCAGGAGAGACTTTCTGAAGATAGACTGTGCACATGCAAAAAGGCATGACCTCAGGTCCTGACAGTAATCTTTAACCTGAGGTCTAAATAATTCATAGACCACTCTGTGTGTTCACAAAGTCTGACAGCTGCCATCTCACAGCTGCCACCAGTACACTATTAATAAAGACACAGATCTGATTACGGATTATGAGATTCACAGTCAGATACAGTGTATCAACTCCATCCATAAACCCTGATAAGTCATTTAGAGAAAATAGCAGAGAGCAAATATGATGTAGTCATGCAGGGGTTACGTGAAAGCAGCTTGTGGAACATTCCTTGGTGAAATAATGTGAAAACAGTACTGTGCTTGGTCAGCTGAGAGGTTCCCACTTGAACATCAATGAAAATGTAATCATCTGGGATATTTTTTGCATCAGTAAAATAGTCCCAGTCTCTTCCAGGAGGCACAGAGGAGCAGTGATCTACCTGATGCACTGCAGGTGTCACCTGTCTGCCTGGGAGGACTGGGGAGGATGGGAACATAGGCTGATAACATGAATGCACAAGTGGATTTCTATTTGTGGCATAAACCTAATGCCTGGCTGCTTGTGGAGGTCACTGAAGGGTAATGTTAATATATTTCACTGGAAGATGGAAACTCAAGGTCATGGGAGTTTCTAATGAGGTGTTAAAAGGTGGATTAATGTTTTCTGGTAGCAGCACGCTCCAAATCAGCAATTACATTTTTAATGAGATGATTCCTGAGTAACTGCACCTCTGTTTTTGTCAATCACCAGGCTGCTTTGTGAGCCAATGTAAAGTGCGTGTGTGTGTGTGAGATCCAGCCTCCTTCCCTCCCCTCCACCCCCCGGTCTTTGTCCCTCCTCCAGCAGTCGGAGGAGCTCTCTCCATCCGCACGTCCTGCTCCAGAGCACCGTCAGGATGGTCCGCCGTTGCACCGACAACCTTCACTTCACTTTCATTCTCTGTTAACCCTTCCCCCGGACTCTCACCGACCGCCCTTCCACACAGACACACACATGCTCTCTGAGATGCGATACCGCAGCACAATTTCCTGGAGAATATCTTCATCTTGTGTCGCTCCTCCTCGCTGATCGAGAGCAGCATGCACGACACGGGGACGGCGGCGGCGGGCACCGCGGCCGCCGGCGGGGCCACAAGCTCCGGCGACGGCTCCGAGAGCTCCCGGCACCGACACCGACCGCAGCAGGGAGACTCGGAGAGGCCAGACCCGGGCGCTGCCCCGCAGCAAAGCTCCTCAGGAGTCCTCGGTGAGTCTGCTAGCTCCGGACGGGGAGGTTTGCTATCGGAGGAGGAGAGGACAGGTGAAACGTGATGTTGGGAAGCATCACTCCTCCTTTGTTTCCCCCAGTCGTCCCATAAAAGATCAACTAATCTTCTTATATATTAGGATTTTGTTTATTGTGCATCATTTCACGTCAGCTTTTCCCATAAATACTGACGTTTTATCCTCTTCCCAGGAAGATGGCATCATTACGCACATCAGTGGCTAGTTTTGACCTTATTGCAGCCCATCAGGCTATCATCTGTCTTTATTATGTCGTCTTTGGTCTCACTATTGTTATGGGCCAGAATATCTGCTGCATAATATCCTAAACGCCTTCTAATAGTCTTAATTTGCTGCTAACTACCTTTTTTTAATGAACAGTCATTCTACCTGGTAAACAAAAGCAGTGCTCTCTAAACTCTGACCAGACTAGACTGTTGGGACCAGTTTTCAGGACAGTTTAGGAGTGCATGTCAATTCAGGAAACCATGAATGTTTGTAGAAGCTTCTTTTATCTAGTTTTTTATTTAGCTTTGTGTGTTTTCTGATTTAGATGTAGCTAAAATGAAATTTAACACACATGCTTTCTATTTATTCCTAATACCACAGCCAGTGGGTTTGATTAGGGTCATATCAGAATCTAAGGATTTCACTGTGATTCTATTTTAGGACCAGATCAGAATATTAGCTCCGGTAGGGCGCCTTGACTGGATTATTTTTCCAGCATGCAGGGTGCAGAGGCAGCCTCTTTGCTCCCTGGGAGCACTGCTGCAGAGTGATGCAGTGGAGCAGTGGGCTGTCAGCAGCATGAGTGCTGCTCTCCACACTTGGTCGAGGTAACCTGAGCAGCCAGCGGCTGGCTGGAAGAGCAGACTGATGTCATCCTCTGGGTGTTTGAACGGGTCACGGACACTCTGGAGGGTCAGTGCAGTGAAGATTGGTTCAGTTATACACTGACTTTCTTTGCTAGAGGCAGTCGTGGAGCAAAGGGAAGGAGTGGGAGTTTGTTCTTGCTAGGTCTGAGACATAAAACAATTATGGATTTTGCACAAGTGTTCATGAATGCAAACATTTCTAACAACTGAGAAGTAGTGATCTAGAAAGGTTCGTTTACTGTTTTACTACAGCTGTATTCGCTCTTTGGGTAACTTACACATAAATAGAGGTGAACGCAGAAACCTAAACATCTTTACAGTCATGACTTGTTTGTTAAATCTCTAATAAACCATCTAGGGCTGCAACAAACGATTATTTGGATAATCGATGAATCGGATGGGGTCTCGACACGATTAATCGATTAATCGGATTACATGGGGAAATTTTTAAAAACTGCTAGGGAAATGTTATTTCTCTCCTTCCTTCACTTTATTAAACACAACATTATTAGAAAACAGTTCAATAGCAGAAAAACAACATGCCATCCCCTAAATTTTCTTATAAGGTGTATAGACAGAGACCCTAAGCTACATCTATCTGTGACCTAAAATGCTTGGTCCAAGTTAAACAGCTTAAGGGCAATTCTCATCTGTTTTGTTTGATCTCATCTGTAGACATTTATTAAAACTGGGGATGTCAAACAACAAATTTTTAAATGTAATTAAACATTGGCTGTGAATTAATCAAAATTGATCACTATTTCCAAAAATGACTGAAAAAATACCAAATAAAACAAAAACCCACCTTGTGATGTTGCCCTGGGCAACTGCCATAAAGTCACATCAAGAAATGCTGCTGATCATTCCAATGATCCCAAATAGACTCACATTAGGCCACATGAAAGCAACTGAACCCAAAAATATATTAACCAGTATATAACTGCACTCTCACACAACACGCCTGCAGCAACAGTTAGGACTCCTCCCTCCCTTTTAAAAGCGTTTTCGCTTCTGAGGACATTGTGGTTGTAAAACCACATGCTAGTAGTCTGGCCCCGGTATGATCAACCAGTTTCTGCGGGATGTGACGGCGGAACCGGTTCACAGCAGCGCAAGTCTACGGGAAAATCCCCCCAGTTCATCTAATAAGCGCCGCGCTCACGACTTTATAGACTTTTTTTTTTTTACGAGCTTAGGGCATGTCTAGCCTGTGTAATAATCCGGGGCTTGGGTGAATCACTTTTGAAAAGTTTTTAACTTACCCGGACACAGAGCTCTCTCCTCCCTCGCTGATGATTCCGACATGCTTGCGTTTAAGATGCTGCATCACCACCGTAGTACTCCCGTGCCATGCTAAGTCTGACCTAAATGTTGCAGGTAACGAATGTCTTCTCCTGATTTAAATGAAAATGCTCCCGAACTTAAGAAGTTTTTACTTTTTTGGGTCTCGCTGCTTCTGCCATGTTCCTCTTCCAAACACCTGCCGGCTCTCCCTCGCGCTGATCTGACTTGCTCCAGTCTGCGCGCAACGGCGGGCGGGCGGGGGGGCTTTTGGAAGAGTTGTGCGAGACAACGAATCGATTAATTCGTTGCCAACACTTTTAGTAATCAATTTTCATCGAATTTATCGATTCGTTGTTGCAGCCCTAAAACCATCCATCTATCCGTCCATTTTTATTTGCTTCTCTGGGGTTGGGTCGCAGGGCTAGCAGAGAGGCCCAGACTTCCCTCTCCCTAGCCACTTGGGCCAGCTCTTTCAGGGAATCCCAAGACGTTCCCTGGTTAGCTGAGAGACATAGTCCCTCCAGTGTGTCCTGGGTCTTCCTTTAGGTCTCTGCCCGGTTGGACGTGCCCAGAAAACCTCACCAGGGAGGCATCCAGGAGGCATCCTGACCAGATGCCTGAGTCACCTCAACTGCCTCCTCTTGACGTGGAGGAGCAGTGGGTCTACTCCAAGCCCCTCCCGGATGACCGAGCTTCTCGCCCTGTCTCTGAGGGAGAGCTCAGACACCCTGCAGAGAAAACTCATTTTGTCCGCTTGTATCCACGATCGCGTTCTTTCGGTCACTACCCAAAGCTCGTGGCCATAGAGGGTAGGAACGTAGATCGCCTACTGGCTCCGGCTCAGCTCTCTTCACCACGAGAGATCAGTACAATGCCCACATCACCTAAGACCAATATTCCTGCCAATCTCGTGCTCCATCTTTCCCTCACTCGTGAACAAGACTCGGCTTACTTAAACTCCTCCACTTCAGGCAGGACCTCGTCCCTGACCTGGAGAAGGCCTTTTACCTGAAGACCCTGGTTTTGGATTTGGAGGAGTTGATTCTCATCCCAGATGCTTCACACTTGGCTACGAACCACTCCAGTGAAAGTTGGAGATCACGTTCTGATGAAGCCAGCAGGACCACATCATCAGCAAAAAGCAGAGGCCTAAATATTTAGGACACCAAAATGGATCCTGTCCACAAAGATCAGAACAGAATCAGTGACAAAGGGCAGCCTTGGCGGAGTCCAACTCTCCCCAGAAATGAGCCAGACTGTCAGTAATGTGGACCAAGCTCTAACGCTGACCATACAGGGGCCTACCAGTCCGTATCAAAGAGGCCTGCTGCCCCATACTCCTGGACTACCCCCCACGACTCCCTGAGGGATGCAGTTTAACGTCTTATTGCGTGTTGCTTCTGCTTCATGCACATGACTCCCTTCATACATTTTTGCCATATTTTATTGCCAATAGAGACAGTTTTGTAAATGGTCCCCTTGTGTTAGATTATTGGATAATAAAAGCATCAAAGTGATTCTACTTTTAAATTTGTAGTAAAAGGATGTATAAGACTACAGTCTAGGAACATCGTAGTATCCCATAACTCCCCTCACACACGTCACCCAACGCAGCAGCAGGGTGACCATTCAGCTGAGACTTCGGTGGCAGCTTCGAAGGATTTTCTTTGGACCTTGCTCAATCGGCCCCGTTCCTCTTCCGTATTGTCCTAATCCTTCCACAGCAGACCGCGGCGACTTTGATCGTCCGTGCCACCTTCCTTTGTAGCTCAAACACTCACACAAGCTTTCGTTTCAAGGATTAATTAAGCGCTCGTCATTAGAAAATGCAACGTAAAAGTCACACCAATTAGAGCGTGCTCCCTCTGAGGCTGGCGTTGATAAGATTCGGTCTTGTACGAATGAGGTCATGCATTTTCTGGTTGCCCATCAGCCACTGCAGTTGTGTAATACATAAGTTGAGACAGTCTTTCTGGGGTGAAACACGGAACGTGTGCTGTTGGGCCCCAGAAAGGCCATTCCCCTGAATGTGAACCCCCCTTTTGGTTATGTTTAGCCTCAGAGTGCTACATGCAGCGCAGAAGCACAGGCAGATTTAGCTTTAACAGTCGTAGTCTGAAACCCTTTCTTCGCCCCTGCTCTGATCTGAGGATGCTGGATTTTTCTGAGGCAAAAGTAGGATTTATGGGTCAGTTTTCCTCCATGTAAACTTATTTACCTTTAAACACACTTTACAGTCTGCAGAATACATGAAGGGAATATATTAAGCAGGATTCTGCTCTTTCGGCCGGGGTCCATCTCTCTCTGTGCCTCGTAAGCAGCTTGAACCCTCACCTTAGCCTCTGACAGGTTTAGTCAGGTTCAGCGTCTCACTGGTTTCTTTAAATACAGCGGCGTGAGGGTGGCACTGAGAGGAAAAAGCATCACTCTGAACTTTCCAAAAGAAAAGCTGTTTTTCACAGCAGCGGACTGATGGAGCCACTGGTTTACGCCCTCCCACAGCCTCATAATTGAAGAGGCTTAGGAATGCTGTATGATAAACGCCAGCAGTGTGTCGTGTCTAATGGCTCCCGGCCTAATGCTGCTCCTTACATCTGCCTCTTTGCCTACATCGCTGTAATTCAGTGTACAAACAGAAAGATGTTCTGCTCTCCTCCCATGGTGTAAGCGTCAAGCGGCGCATTAGCTGCACTTGAAGTGGAGGAAAACCATCTCTCAGTGGGGTGACCTTGCTGCTAGTGATATTTTATCTTTATTACCCCTGAGGTCAGACACACAGCTAACAGATTACTTTGGCAAACTAACTCGTGAGAAGGTGCAGCAT